AGACAGCCCACTGTCACAACGCATCGTTCAGCGAGGTGAAACAAACCTCTTGTTACCAAGTCATTACCGTATATCAATCTAGATGTCTTGCAACCATGCACCGGTCAATCCTCTGATTACAAATCTGAGCACCCATTGCCCCCACTTCAATACCGGATGTGGAGTTATGTGCTCCGCAGACTGGGATTAATTGCTCAGAACAATCATCTGATGCCGCATTTTTAGCTGTCCCAAGTAAGCTTGCTGAGCTAATGAATAGTTGTTATTATACCGTTCCGCGGGTCCAAAATGAATCGATCGACTTGTAGGTTCTGAATCCCTCCGATGAGTCCCTACTGGTTGTGCAACATACCGCACAATATCACAGATATGGTAGCTACGTATCATCTCAATGCCTTGAAAGCAAACCATTTAGTTAACGTCTCGGCATCCTTTCCTGTTTGAAACAGGGTTTTAACGAGTCACTCGAGCCCCAAGCGAATCTGTCGCTTACAGTTACTACGCAACACACTTCCTTCGGAGCTACGGCTGAAGAAATCTGTTAGAAAACCCCAGCTACTTCCTGTTCTCGCGGAAACGACACCACCCGCGACTCAATATAACCACAACCGTGATGTAGAAACCTATGCGTTTAGATCTGTAGCTATCGAGAAGGTTGCCGATGGACTACAGACCGCAGGTGCAAATGAGACCGAAAACAGATTGTATTCCTAGCGAGACTTGGCAATTCACTCAGAAACCATTAGGTGCCGACCTCTCATCAGTTGACACAACTCCACATCATTCATGTGCTCTTAGTCAACTGCTTTGAACATCCGAGAAGCTTTCCTCTATGTAAAATGACGCTTAAGGCTTAGTGACTATGCTTTCCGAAATGCGGCTGCGTCAAGTAGCAAAAGCCTACGACCACATCGTTATACCGAGATATGGATACGCCCTGACATCAGTGACATGGAGGTCGCACTGCCACGCATATCCATTGTTCGGCACGACCGAACCAGCAAAGGTGGAGGGGTTGCTCTGTACTTCCGCAGCGACCTCCAATGTGAGCTCATACAGGATCCGGTCAGCACGGTACAAGATACGATTTAGCTCCGCCTAAGTTTATAAGGGGAAGACACTTGCTTAGTGACGGTCATTTACCGCCCTCCTTCCTCCACTCCCGAGATGGATTCCCATCTAGGCATCCCCAATAAGTTGAATGCGGAGGACCGCATTGCTCGGTACTAGAACCGCGATTATTTTGACGTATATTAACGATGTCACACGCATCATAAGCTCGAACTGCATGATTTATGCCGATGACATCAAGGTGTGAATGGCGATAAATACACCGGATAATATCACACTACTACAATCCGATCTGGATAAGAGATACGTTTGGTCAATCCAGAATCTGCTTTGATTCAATGTGGACGACTGTAAAGTGCTGCACTTGCGACACAAGTTGATGTACTTAAACAAACGCGGCAACCAGGAGCTTCAAACGTCTTACGGCGAGAAGTATCTGGGAGTTTTGGACCAAGTCGACCTTAAACGCACGAATCCGGCTGAAACTGAGTCAAGAAGGGGCATCCAACACGTGGGCCTCATGAAACGTGCATTCTTACGGTTCGACTCCAAGATTTGTCCACAGCTTCTCGGCTCATACATACGGCCATATGTGGAATCCGCAATACAGGTTTGGCAGCCATGGCTGAGAAGAAACCACACTGCCTTGGTGATAACCCAACACTCGGCAATCAAAATGTCAAGGTTCTTTATATGTTGCCCCATAAACGTAGGTTTCATATGCTCGGGGTCTACAGCAGACAATATCGGTGATTGCGCGGGGACCTAATTTTGACCTACCAGATTTTGAACAATCCCAACCACAAGTGCCGCTACCTGCTGGAGCTCAGTCACAACAGCAATTTGAGAAGCCACCATCTCAGTCTGGCAGAACAGGACAGTCGTTTGGTATGCCGCCAGAATTTCTTTCCCGTGCGTGTTTACCAAGCGTGGAATGCCCTACCGGAATCTGTCATATGTGCTCCCAAGCTGGCAGAGTTCAAAGTCCGAGTTGACCGGGCACTTATTTCGTTGTAGCTTCTTACATGACGAAGTACCCATTGATAAACACCAGTGCCTGTAAGAGATTTCACTGATGGTCAAATACCAGATTTCGTTCAAGTGTTTACTTCCTGTATGTGTACACCGAGAAAAGATACCATTTGTACTAACATCTCATTGGTTGTCATTCCTTGTGGCTTTACCATGGATTTACAGTTTATACTACATACACTTCACTGAGTTCAGCGGTGTAAACCCACTTTTGCTAACAATTGCTTTTTCTATTTTGAAGTTTCACCATAATCATCCTACGGGACCTGTTAAGCATTAGCATAAAACCCTTTTTCTATTGTTTCATGCTCTCCGTGGGCTTGGCTTGGGACAATAATGTCTCCTACGTCATCAAACATTGCCAATTAAGCCTAGTGAAACCCCGAAACAAATCCGGTTCATGTTGTTGTGTTGTTGCATCCATTCGTGCAGGTTTCTTTCATTACTACTCGCAGTATCGAACAAATCCCTGCAAATACTTTTGACTATTTTTTCAATGTCCTTAGACAGTTAGTTTTATTCACTTTACATAGCGACTGGGTCAGATACCCGATTATTTGTTAAAGGGCTACTATCTTTCTTGCGCGCTTTTTAGGCATATATCGCTTTATTCCTTGAGTACAAGACAAGAGCTTGCAAGTTCTGTTGATTGATTCTGCATGGTTTTGAATTTGAGGACACACATTTTGAACTTGGGTTTCAAGCGTTGCTTGAAAAGTAATGAGCAGCCCTCGCATATCGAAGCGGGGATGAGGAGGATTCCTGATGAATGGGCGATAATTGAAGTAGATCAAAGAATCTTTTGTTAACGGCTGATAACCATCCGCTGCTCATTCAGAGGGAATGGTTTATGTAGTGCTACCCGACTCCTTTTGGCCTAATGACTTGGTGCGCAAGGGGTTAAAGAGGCGATCTACCGCGAGCATCTCAGCGCAACTGGTCGCACTGCATGTCAAATGTTGGATAGCCAATTATGTACGCTTCTCGACCCTATCACGTTGTACACTTACCACTGTTGGCCATTGATCCGCCTTGATTGTCTTTTATCTTAACGATTTGGGTCTGACCAGTCTGAGGGGAAAGGTTATAAAAGGTTGAATGACTACTGGGCCCTCATGCTCCACATAGAACCTGTGGTTGTCGTGCCATACCCAATCATGATGAATTTGGTACCCGTATACTGCTGTCACTCGAGACTGAGCTACGAGCGTGGAACGCTACTGATCTTCCGATATCCCGCGAACGCGACGTTAGGACCGAATTTGTCTAACCTCGTACACCTGATCTGTGTGCGATGAGTGATCCGAGTCAGTGCTTCACACTCATCATCCAACATCATCCCAACGCCTAGACTGTGCTATGTAGCTTGTGAACTACTGGGTTGAATGCCTTAAAAACAGATTCCAATAGTGTTGATCTGATGTCGCCAGATCTTTCTAGCGGTTTCTTCTTTTTTTAGCCTTATCTCATACCCTTATCGTGTGCAGAAAGCTGGAGTTATTTCTACCCTTTGTGGTGTGTATTATTCTTGCTTTATGGTATTCGGAATAAGTCTGAACGGCAAACAGAGTAGCGTTTTTTTTCAGCCTGCAGGTGAGCAATCGCTCACTTAACCGCGTCGGTTGGTCTGAGACCAATGACTGGGCTACTGATACTGATACTGATTAGAAGCAGCGAGGAGAGCATACTCTGTTTAGCTGCATCAGTAGTCGCTCTTGGACATCAACATATTAATTAACGTTCCGCTCTTTATATTTTGCCTCTGCGAAATGTTTGTCTAGAAGCTTCTTAAATTCGGCCACTGAATTCGCCTCTATTACCGGCTGCGGCAGGTTGTTCCAGGTATTCACCACTCTTCGTTCGAAACAGAGTTGGTGAGCTACCCGTTTCAACTGCGATACGATAAGTTTGTACCGGTGTCCTCGCGTGCCGCTTGGTGTGCGCAGATGAAGCAGTTGTCTCAACATGGGGCAATCACTCAGATGAAATATCCGGTCCGTCATGATTATGTCAACCCTCAGCCGACGATATGCTAGGGTGTACAGCCCTAGTTTCTTACATCGGTCTTCATATGGTATACCTCGTAAGTTGGGAATCCGCCTAGTGGCTACATGCTGCAGCAGACATCCATGTAACCCCACAAAAATCGCTGATTGGTTGAGTTACTCCCAATACGATCAGAGGTCAACTTGCTGACTGTCCACTGAATGCAACAGTCTGAAGCTGGGGCAGTCATGTCACTCCTACGGTAGACCCTAGTTCACAACATTGTGCGTACATCTTGTGCTCGGTATTTCAGCACTTAGTTCCAGCACAGAGTAACAGTTATCCTATTAACTCTAAATGAGGACGATGGCTTACTTACCCTTATGAAGATTTCCAGCTGGAACATTCTACACATGCGTGCTATATGCGTTTGAGGATGTTTTAAGAACCATCGCCAAGCATACAGCGCTATCTTCTGAATAACTTTTCTATTTAGAGAACAAGCAGCTGTATGACGTGATAAAGGGGGTTTATTTCGATCCAGGAATTCTAAATCAGCTGTCTGTACATAATCATTCGAATAGTCGCGTGAAGATACTAGCCATGTGTGGGGCATCAGAAACAACAATGGCGGTAGGAACGACTCGAAAAGGGTGTTATTTGTGTGCTACAAAATGCAGTGGAATATGTCGTCTCATAACCCATGGGGGTGGGTTACAGCGTCTGACTAACCCATTGATGTGTTTGGATACTCAGAAACCCGGGAACTATTTGTGGAACCAGAGGGACTGGTTTTCTTACAGCTGCTATTGAAAGCACGAATATACACTCTTATCCTTACACGCTTGTTTCATATCATTCTTCGGCATGTGGCTTCACAAAATTTGTTGACCACTCGTTTCCAACTTCAGGATTTCGTGGGTTGATGGACAGGTGACTGGAGCCGAGGCAGATATTTTCCTGGCTGACATAAACATATCTGTTGACGGGACGTACTACCAGGCGTTCTCTGTGCATTTTGCAAATGCTGCACTGCAAGAGGCAACGGTCGATCAAACATCTCAGTTAATTGGTAAGCGCATAATTTTTGAGGAAGATATGACTTGCATCAAGCGATTACTAGAATGGTAGTCGATGTGCCTTCCCTCTATTTCTCCTATCAACCTCATACAATAAAATTATAATCTCTAACGCCAATAAATCCAAAAGCAGCCAGTGTCATGTGGGTTGAAGTAAATAGGGGAATTGTGCAACCGCCGTATGTTCACAACTTTTCTGCCACCTCGATCTCATCATCAGCTTGATTGCAAAGTTTTCGATTCTATGTAACTGCTGCTGTTTGTATCCGCTCGGATGCCTTTGTAAAAGATAGTGGGTATACTCGAAGATTCACCGGTCCTTATACCATGTATATTTTGATGCATGTAATGAATGATGATCGCCCCCTCTGTTTACCTTCTGGCCGCAGGTTACCAACTCGGATCAGACCTGATAACCGGAGTGCGGAAAGGGTCAATTCCGGGCCACTTCGAAGTCATCTTAGAGGACGTTGATGCAAGGAAATCGGAATTAATTATTCCAGGCTAGTAGTTTTGTTTCTAACCCAGAATACTCCTTCTTTCTTGTCATAGCCTTGCACCAGTAATTTTCACCCAACAGAAAGTCTATACCCCTAACTTCTTGTTTGATCCCCTTAGTACAAGATCCGTTCTACACACGTAGTTTGTACCTGAACCACACATGTTTAGAAATATCTACCGTGATACTAAAATTGTGCATCTTACGACGGTAATAATTTCCTTCCACTGGTACCCACAAATCCAGACACTCTTTGTGGTCACTCTGAAAAGCAGCCATTCAAGTTTGGCTTAAACTCCATTGTCGTCTGTCAAGTCACTCTCAACACGTCCGCATTTCTCGACTGCGCGACACTAAGGTGAGTACATTGTTTATATAGTACTTTACTGAAGCGCGTCCGCAGTCCAACACAGCCCTAGATAATGGCTATATATGAGATGCTCCTTGGTAAAAGTATAACACGCTGACATTGTACATCAGATCCATTTGAATTGTTGAGCTCCGGCTTTCTAATCATTATCATGATCTAGCACCATTTCAATAGTTTCTGAACTAAACCTGAAAACTACGGTTAATTGCCTTTGGCAGCAGTCAAAGTACATTTTAATGTCAAGTTAGTGCACACTTATTGCCCGAGTTTCCTTTCTGCTTGGTCGCTCAAAGCATAATATGTGGACTGAGCAGATGACCGTAGTCATGACTTCAGCGGTCGTTGCTAATAATTGTTGATTGAAGCTAGTGGTGCAGTCTCGACTTATAATACTCTGACTGCAATTTACGCGATGCTTTTCATCGCATACAGAGGCGATGGTTGCCAGTCAGTCATTCGTAAGCGTCCTATTCATGTTGCTTACGGTTTAACAGCAGCAGACTGTAATCCCCATCGCTTCTGCAATATCTGTTTGATGATGAGGTTCGCTGGTATATTAATGCTGCTGCAGGTTTAACTCCGACTCAGTACCAGCACTACCCAGGGTTATCAACAATTCTCGACCTTCCTTTTCTTCTGACTTCATTAGCATACATCACACTGTTCTTCACGCAGCGGTTTACACTCCCTAACCTGAACCTACTTTACCAGTAGTTGTGAATGATACAAGCGACAACACCACTCGGTCGATTAACTGCAATCCGTAAACGAAATGCTGGGTAGATAACTTTTGAAGATCTGCGCTAAACACGTAGATGACTGGCGGTTGAAGATATCGCCAACCCTCTGTGCTTCTTCATGAATGACGTACTGTTAGCGAGTACCAGTTGGCAGTTACTAATAATATTGCAAAATTTCAGTTTTCTTGGTGTAAGCCATTTGTGGAACGCATTCCCCGAAATCATGCATATACCAACCGTACTTAAAGGTCGGCTGGATGACGCATTCAGTCATCTATTTTTTAACAGTTCTTATTACTTGTCCGTTCCACATCCGGGACAAAAGAATCGCTCTCCTATGCACCACTTAGTTGTGCTGTTAAACAAGTCGGAGAACCGAACTATCGCCTCACAACACATTAAGAAAGAGTCCTCTTTCTTGCAAGAAGAAATGCTATATTTTTGCTATTGCAACGTTTATGAAAATCCACGTCAGACCCCCAAGGAGACTTACAACTCAGTGCTTCGTTGTTTGTAATAAATCACTGTTCAAAGTTCAAAGGAGCGGGTGGTGTGCAATGGTAAGCAGGGTGCACGGATGCAAATCACACATCACTGCTGATACGTGACAAATGGTTCAATGAGAACGGCCCCTACAACAGTTGTGCCTGATGTCTGGGACATATTGGGCCCTTACTCGCAGTCGGCAAAGATTGGTGTAGTAACAGGCACCGCGTGCTAAAATCCGGTTGGACGGATGTGTGTGAATCTACTAAACGTTCGTACTTCTCCAAGCTACATTGCTCCGTCTCCTCACAGCACTGTGCTTTTGCCAATTCCAGAAGCTTGATGACGACGCAACTAAATCAACTCGTACCGACGGAGCTGGTCGCTGTATTCGTCAAACCATCGGTCATCGACGCTGACGACTGGGTGGAAGTTCAAAAGTAAGTCTCTGTAACTGACTCCCACCAACAATTGGATGCTACATTAGCATGTGGCTTTATCTCCGCAAGACTTACTGCGGGGACCATACCGATGGGTCTGAATCGAGCTTGCCACGTCTCGGCTGCTTTTGCTTGATCCTCATTTGTCCGGATTACTCTTAATTAATCACCACAACTTTACTACTTTTCAGGGAACCAACAGTACCTAAGGTGACGCATAACCAAAGCGCGAATCCTGTTGGCACCTGCAATCAGGTGCCATCGGGTATACATTTGGATGTTTTCTATTCAATGCAGGGCAAAATTAACGGAGAGCCAGTTTGGCTGGTTGTTGGAGCTCAGGTCAGGTGAGTCACAGTTGATAGGCCCGTTTATGCTGTTTTTGGATTCGTTGCTAACCGGTCATCTTGTTCGCAAGTGACACAGGTAGCTCGAGTGTCATTGCTTCTATGCCGGTTACCAAAGCCGGTAACTCTGGTCGGCTGGTCATCTACTGTTTATGTCAAATTGCACCGATACACCTAACTCAATGGCTTAAGGCTAACGAATTTCTCCTTGGATTTTGTCAACAGCTACATCTATTCTAACTGGACTCTGACATGCGACTCCAGCGGCCTCTACTCTGGGTCCCGCAGTGACTCCGGATTGCCGTGCTCCGATGCAGACACCCAACAAACCCTTACTCTCACCACACAAGTTACTTATACCAAAGTACCTACAGACTGGACTGGTCGTATTTGGAATACAATAAATGCAGCCAAACTTACCGCTCAAGGTTCCTCTCAACGGACTGCCTGTGAGCATGATACCTGTTGGGAGGAAGCGTTTTATGCTTGGAGCAATAATAACCACTTGTTTGGGCTACGTAACGAGAGAACAGTTTCATATTCAATGATTGCCAGCTTGGGTATCGGCGCGATCGGACTAACACTGATGTTGATGATCGGACCATTTCGTTGACTTGTCAAGAGAGGATCGCCGGTTTTTTCTACAAATATGGTATATTTCATCTGAGGTCTAGTTTGCCGGATTGTAACAAAGTCGAAAGCACCTTTAGTCTACTTGAATAAATAAATCCTCCTAAAACATACGACCACCTCTTCCGTTTTTTAACTGCTTTCAAAGCTAAATACACACGTCCGTATTGACTGGTGCCTAATTGGCGTGTACTAAACACATTATGAACAGCAGTTGAGGCGTATACCCCTGACCATGATCTTTCATTGCTGATACGCTTCACGGCTTGGATTTTCTATCTGATGCTTGGGTTCGAAACGTGGTCACATGCCTCAACTTCTTTTGAGTTGCTATTCCGGGTGCTCTCATAGCTGAAAATGCATCAGCAGTAGGCCGCTACGCAGTACCGACACTTCGCTACCGCGCGCCCACCAGCAGTCACACGTGTTCTAAGGACACTGTGAGGGCCGCCCGGTCTCTACGCAGGCTCGAACCCGCGCCCTCATATTACAAGACAGGCTTGTGATGCTCAAGGCTACTGGCCGGTCCTAATATCTGAACTATTGGCAGATAGCGGGATGGTTCACTCCAAAGGATCGGTTCGTTTAGAAACATTTTGCTGTTGCCTGCTTGAAAAGTAACACCGCACGACTGATTTCGCCCTCCTTTGAACTGCTGCGTCAGATCTGACTGCACCTTAGACTCTAACAATGGAACACTAGTATATTACGGGTAAAAACAATGCTTAGCAAATTCCGTGGGATAGAACTTGTCGAGAAAATATAGATTATTAATAAAAGGAAAATTGTTTTGGTAGACTCACCATAGGTAAGTATAAAAGAGTCGAGATATTCCCCTTCTAAAATTATAAACCCACTAGTTCGAATGTTGGAAACCCCTTTGATTGCGTATTGTAGCCTCCTGACTAACACAAGTTATAAGACGATATGTGAATGGGACAAGGCTACGTCAAGTCGTTTTTGGAATACCGTTAGATTTGGAGCATTGACGACATACGTTTGGAGAGTTTTTCACCGCTGACACAGTGGATGGGAAAAGAGATTTTTACGTCATTCCGGCCGCCTACACTGCATTGGTGTGGTGTTGTTGTTCGGTCCCAGTTGTGGACAGCAAATGTCGTCTAGGTTCTTCAGGATCTGGTACACCATTATGAAGTCCCCCCGTAACGTCGACATCGAATGCATCAAAACAAAGAAGAATTAGCACTGTGGACAAATAAACATATCAAAAGGAAATTTTGACCACTCATTTAGTTTTAATAACACAGTGAGAAAACGAACGCTGGTAGATGCGCACATTTCGTATTGCCTCATCAGTATTTCTCTAGTGACAATGAATCTCAGTCGAAAGCATCGTTGGAAAGCAAAATTACAAGCCCCATTGAAGAGCTTCCATTTTGTTGACGAATATGAAGCGTTAATCAAGCCATTTGTAATTTGCGACACAGCAAATTTGACAGGAAAAAACGAGAAGCTCAATAGTTTGAGAAACGATAGGTTTCACCGTTCAATCTTATTGCGGAAAACTTTTGGAAAGATGTGACTTCTGCCAAAAACTGGCACCCTGCAGAGCCTGATGGCCATTAAAGTACTTTTGCCCCTTTATCTTCATCCTACTTGAAAATGGATTTTCAGCTATGATAGAAATCAGGTTCAAAAAACGATACAAAATACTCAAAAGTGATAACAAAATATTACTTGTTCTGACAACCTTAAATTTCGTCTTGATTTGGGTTCCAAAACGAAAAATCAGAAGACGTAGACGGTGAGATGACCCAGTAATTTCGCGCAAGCTCCTCAATGGATCTTCCAAAAAGTAGTCATATAAGATCAACACTTAATCAGTCGTAACGCCTCATACGACCACGGTAGGTTAGGATTCACAGTCAACTGTTTCTGCACTCAAAGCAGCGGCCACTCTCGATCGATGACGATGGCTTCCATTAGCGTGTGAGTGTGGGGTCGCTGCTTACGCAGCAGGACCGTCAATGACTCATTGGGGTTAACTCGGTGGCCGGAGCTCAGCAAGTACCTTGTGAGTGTCGACGCAGCTCGATTTCGCAATGCACCGATTCTGCCGTCGCCGAACGCATCCGGCTGCGTAAGCACTTAGGAATGGGCTCATTGATTCTAACATCTAAACTTCGGCCAGTAAGCCCGTTATGGCTGTTTTCGCAGCTACAGATGAAGTTGTATAAGCAATGGGACATGCACTGCCTCGTTATCGGTGTCTTGAGAGAACACATAATCAGTTGTCTTGTTGACACGAACAACCGTATTCAGTTGCATTGTAAGCCCTTTTCACTGATGCACTAATGCGCGTCGCGGTGATTTTCATGATATAATCACCTTTGAATGAAAGTTTGATGAAGTTCTGCTCCTTGCGAACTGATGGAACATGATCCCACTTGGGCATGTCGCTAATGTGTCCTATACACTGCATCGGATCCCCATTTGATTGTAGTATCTCGAACATGAAATCATGCTCTGCTGCTGAGGTGTCAAGGGGTGCAAATCAGGTGGGCGCGATGAAACAGCGTTCGGACGAGCGAACTTTTGTGTTGCATAGAGGAGAAAGACTTAACATGCAAATGCTCAGCTTTTTGATCGAACCGTCCTTTCACCATGTGGTCAGTATGTCTAGGTATGCAAGACAATTATTTTACACTATTTCACACATCACTGTAAGTTTCGAGTGCCTACTGTTTAGAGTCTTGCTCGCAGGCACAGTGTCCTCTTCGGAATCTATTATAAGCAGTATATCATCCACATAACAGTTGTATAAAGTCGTCGAGTTTATGATACCGTTTTCCAACTCTTCGATTACACTACTGAACACATCTGCTAACAACTGGCCCATTGCAACACCGTCTACCTGTCGATATGCCTTACCTTGGAAATAAAACGTTGTTTTTCGTGCACAAAAGAAAAGTGGGCTGCAACAGTTACGCGGGTAGCTGCAGTCGGATGTTAAGTTTTGAGATAAACTCACAGAGCTAATCAGCAGCCTCGTTCAGCGGGATGTTAATTAAGGGGAATGTACATCAAGCGAACACGTTCGCTTTTTGGTCAAGTTTACGTATTCCCAGTAAGACAGTAGTTCGAAAGTGTTTAACAAAGCATGCTTTACTATGGATTTTCTGACAGGTTCAAACATGTTATTCAGTCAGTTGGCAGTGGTGTGGCACGGTGCATTGACCATGGAAATAATTGGTCGCATAGGCATTCTTTCGTTATGTAATTTGGACCAAACGTACATTTGTGGAGTGCGGGTGCCCACGGATTTTGATTGATATTGGTATTCAGATATAAAGCCCTGCAGTTTTAGTGACGTGCAATAGAGCAACATAATTGGCTTCCATATCTAGACATCCAGATCACGCGGCGAATGGATGGTTCGATCAGGTCAGTTTATTGAAAAGCAACATGGGCAGATCAATATTTGCATGTTGAATCTGTCTCCTCTATGCAACACAAAAGTTCGCTCGTCCGAACGCTGTTTCATCGCGCCCACCTGATTTGCACCCCTTGACACCTCAGCAGCAGAGCATGATTTCATGTTCGAGATACTACAATCAAATGGGGATCCGATGCAGTGTATAGGACACATTAGCGACATGCCCAAGTGGGATCATGTTCCATCAGTTCGCAAGGAGCAGAACTTCATCGAACTGTCATTCAAAGGTGATCATATCATGAAAATCACCGCGACGCGCATTAGTGCATCAGTGAAAAGGGCTTACAATGCAACTGAATACGGTTGTTCGTGTCAACAAGACAACTGATTATGTGTTCTCTCAAGACACCGATAACGAGGCAGTGCATGTCCCATTGCTTATACAACTTCATCTGTAGCTGCGAAAACAGCCATAACGGGCTTACTGGCCGAAGTTTAGATGTTAGAATCAATGAGCCCATTCCTAAGTGCTTACGCAGCCGGATGCGTTCGGCGACGGCAGAATCGGTGCATTGCGAAATCGAGCTGCGTCGACACTCACAAGGTACTTGCTGAGCTCCGGCCACCGAGTTAACCCCAATGAGTCATTGACGGTCCTGCTGCGTAAGCAGCGACCCCACACTCACAGGCTAATGGAAGCCATCGTCATCGATCGAGAGTGGCCGCTGCTTTGAGTGCAGAAACAGTTGACTGTGAATCCTAACCTACCGTGGTCGTATGAGACATTACGATTGATTAAGTATTGATCTTATATGACTGCGTTTTGGAAGATCCATGATTTCTAAATGATTTGTGATTGAGGGGGTTGCGCGAAATTGCTGAGTGACCTCACCGTCTGTCTTTTGAATTAGTTTCTTTGAGAAAGCGGGCTCAGCTTTGTCGATGTATAGCTATTGTATATCAATGACTTTTGATACTAAAAGCTGAATTGCACGGCTAGAGATACATCTGTTTTTCTCCATCGTAATTAGGTCGAGCACGTACGCGGAACCACGTCACTGGTTTTGCGCGTTTGCAGCATAGTACAGCAGCACCATTTGTTATTCGAGTGTGATGCACTGTCTAGTACTGATATCCGCAATATAGTCATCTATGAATTGCTTGTATTTCTTACACCGATTTCGCATCGAACAGTGTATCGGGCAAACTGTTCCAATATTACACTACTCGCTGCGAGAAGCATGGAACCTGAGCTGCACGTTTTAGATCCGACACCGACCTTGCACTGGCGCAAGTGAGCGCTGTTTGTTGCGCGCAGGTACAGAGACGGTTTCAGTATAGCGAAGTTACCAAGAGTTAACCTCCGGTGCGTCTTTATGTGCTCCACTTGAAACCGAGGATACAGCAACGTGTGCAGCCCTAATCATCTGATTCCGTCATTGTACGTCATACCCTGTGAGCTGGAGATGAGCCTAAGATAGGCTGAACACATTCGAGTTTTTGCACCTCATCCTGAGTGCTCGGATGACAGGTGGGTGAGCCGTACTGTAGTGTTTGTCTAATGATGAAAGAGAAGAAGCGAGTGAAGTCCTCTTCAGATCAAGTACAGAAGTTGCGTTAGGGCCCCCAAAGCATACACATTCCATTTCCCTATATCCTGTTCTTGTTATCCACTGACTTTAAACCGCACAATGGGAGTACGGCTAGGTCATTCATGGAAGACGTTGGATGAACCAATCGGTATGCCAAAGTGTACATACGCTCATCACCATTCTTCCCGAGGCTCAGAAAGCACGGATTGACTAGGTTGACCGGTAGTACGACTTTTGTAGACCATATGAACAGGCAGTAAAGGTCCTGCTGAAGAATGTGGCAGTCGTCGGCAGCATCAGTTAGCCCCCAGTCTTTAAGTCGCCTAATAACAAAGCACGAAAAGACCAGTGAAGCCAAGGTAGTTGGGTGATGTGGACCAGAAAGAAAATGGGTCACAGTACTGTGCGTTGGGATACGCCACTAGATGGTCATACAACTTTGCGTTCCAATTTCGCAAACTAAGGAATTCCCTGATCTAGTGCAATGCAGCAATAGAGCAATGGTTTATAACGGGTATAAAAGCCAAACTTTGACATGTCCCCTGGGAGGAAAGTACAAAGTAAAAACAATGTCGGCAAAAGTGGGCATGCGATAAATGACTCACCTGGGGGTTTGGAGTAACACATGTGCGAGTGTCCCCGCCTGAAGATTATGCTGGCTATGACACCACCCACTGTTTGTTGTGCATTAATATCATCATCTGATGCCATATGTTATATTACATAGTGCAACGGTGTAAGCGCATCGTCAAAGCGTTTTTTGAATAGGGATAAGGTGGGGGCTTTAATTTCATGCGCCAAAACGGCGTTCCAGGGATGTGACATTCGGACGGCGAAACGGTTCCTTCGACATTCCAGTCGGCTGTACTGCGTGGCTAAGACTAATGACCCCTTAGAGATGTGTTTCGACTGGGTTTCAACTGAGAGTGGTATGTGTGCTTGGGGTTTATTAGGATTTGATACACCATTATGAGATCTCCCAGCAGACGCCGATAACGTTCGCTGTTAACTTTCAAACTTTGCAGCTTGAATGGGTAGCAACGGCGGGACAAACCTCTGTCATTCTTGGTCACCCTACACTGTGAAGTATGGAGCGCGGTGAAATTGTTCTTCCAGGGTTGCGATGCTCAGATAACGTATTTCGCGTGCGACCTTACCTACGCGCCAAGCAATTTCGGAAAGACTGAGGCTTCAAACTTCCCGAACGCTCTACGAAGAAGGAAGAACTGCTGGTTTACATTCTTTGATGTCTTGTAATTCTGTCTCAAACAGCCAAGGTCATCTTACATGTGCCCGCCGAGGTCACGCTCATGAGAAGCCCGCTATAGAACTGGTGGTTTTAGGCGATAGTTGTGGGTGCTCTGATGGCCTATGCTCAGAATTTTGCACTTGCTAGCGTTAAACTGAAGCAGGTTCTAGATGGACCATATGTATGCTTTATCCAGCTCATCCCGTTGAGCTGTGTGATGATCCACTGTTGCGACGGTGTCACACCCTATTGACATCAGAAGAATGGTACAATAGTAGGAAAAACCTTAGCAGCAAGCGTAAGGGGTACACTCCAATCAACACATGTGAGCATGTAAAAACTGTCATCCGAACGCGAGAAGGATTCCCGGTTCGAGGCGAATCAATAGCGGACACTGATTGGTTAACACACAAACACGCACGCACTCAACTACACGCACTCCCACGCAACAGCCTTTCCGGCTGGATGGGTTTGGCATGTCGAATGACCGGATCATTCCTCCCCTTTGTTATGGGCTAACCGGCCTGAAAGTGCTCGACTGGTCGGCGTCGACGATTAGAGCGAGATGACCAAGGTTCAGTTACTGGTTGTGTATCATTCACCTGCATAGCAGTCGGTGACTTGAATGGCAGATCTGGTTCAGGACTTCTTTCTGGGTTCGATAGTCTTGGTCGCACGTGGTCCAAATGGTGCTACACGATACGGCCATCCTCAGTTTCTGCTTCTACGATCTGTCCGTTAGTTGTTTTTAAGCGGGTCGGCTCCCAGCGAGAGTCAACGGACGGTCAGCGGACGTAACTATACTCGGACTCTGTCACAATTCGACCCCTGCTGCAATTATCCAAATGGCACTTCGCCCTTTGTTGCCTTAAAGCAACTAGGAACTCAGTGACCCTGTTACGGCAGAGAGTATGAGGCTAATCGTATCACCTAACTAACGCACGGTCTGGGCAGTTAAAATGCAGGGCAGTGGGCGGAATGAGTATACTGAATAACCGTGGTTCTACAATAGCAGTAATAAACAAAAAAGAATACAATTAACTCACGAATAGGTAATGCGACTCGCTAATTCGGGCAGCAATTATTCCACGTCAGCAGTTAAGTCTGTGCAAATGGCGAATAGTCCGTAAAATTGGCACAGTAAAACAAATTACGACCGATGAGACGCAAACCGTAAGTTCACAACAATTAAGCAAAGCAAAAAAAGATAAGAAATGCAGAAAAATTGCAGGGTTTTATCAGTTTGTTAAAGCCGAACATTTGTGCATGAACAGATAAACTCGAGTACCACACCGTCCAACGGGAAAAATATAAAGTAACTGAACTACTGGTAAATGTGCAGTAGTATAGTTCAGAATCGAGAATTTAGTATTCACAGACCTCATGCAGTAAATCTAGCCGTGCGCGCAATCGTCGACCAAACATCAACGCTGTTGGGCTTCTACCGGTTGTCGCGTTTGGCCTATTCCGGTACGCGCACAAGGAAAGATCTAAACACACAAGCAGTGGAGCATTTGGTTGCTTTGTTGGCAGATCGCGATCACTCCCGTGTGCTGTGCGGGTTTCATTCCTCTAGTTAGCAGCGTCTAACTGTGTTATCATTTTGTAGCTAAGCAAAGAGAGAACCTTAGCTGTGCAAATAAAAATTTTCCTGCAATTCGATCTTTCTTCTGGAATTCCTATCTTGGCTCCCGCTACACGTCCCGAGAAGTAAACAAGAAAGAATTATTGGTCACCTGAACCATCCCTGGGCACCGCATGTAAACCTAACATTCAAGGCCGCAAATCTCTATGGTCACCGATCATGAACGAATATATGTCAATTCAAAAAGCTGGGAACTGTAACAATGCAGAAACAGGATTCACTTACGTACCTTAGGTCTTTTTCACGAGATGACATCTGTGTAATGTTCCTTGGATTATTTTCTCTGCGGCTTTTCCTTATGGATCGGCTCTCTTTAATGTTAGAAGGTTCTCGAAAGGAAAAGACAGCATTTGTCTACTAATATTTTGCCTCATTGTTCATTATAACAACCTTTGGCAATTCTATGGAACACCGTCCATTTCCGTGTGGATCCTTCTGCTGAACAGCTTCTCACTTATACTAGAAAATTCTCACGTTGCAAATATCACCCCCACATTTTGTAATGCCGCTAATGTGCCATTCCTTGGAACATTTCGTCGATCCTTTTACAGGGCATATATATATATATATATATATATATATATATATATATAGCAATTCAACCAGCCATCGCTAGACCTAAGCAGTGTGGATTAGTGCAGTATTCTATTGCTCGAGGACATGAGGCTGTCGCATGTAATGGGCGACAGAATGGCAAGTCAGTTCGACATTCTGTAGGTTGGTTGTATACGGTTGGTTTTATACGATAATGTGTTGCTTAAAATCACCTATAGAAAATGGTTTTCTGTGCTATCAAATACTTGGGGGGGGCCGCTTCCAGCCGTGGTAGGAGCTGTGAGCAAGGGCGGACACACTGACAACATCCGAGTTGTTCAAGCAATTTTCTCCCATTGGTCTGTCAAGGGCACTCCACCCCAGTGTGTGATACTAGAATCCAGCAAAGCTTCTAAAATGCCGACGCAAAGCAGCTGCTGTCCGTGGCATGGACAGACCACAAACGGCTAATTACCCCGAGTGAATGGATGCCAGTTTAATGGCTAACGCTTGCAGATACAGATAGGACACAAGCACACGTAGTAAATTGCCCTGCAATTAGTGGGAAAACGCTTATTTCGCAAATCCCCGTCTCAAATGAAACAGCTGCTCTGCGCAACATGGATGCATACCCCGATTAATACACGCACGGTCTTCTAACAGCAATTATCCACTACTGTTTGGCACGTTGATGGTCTGCGAGTTCTCTTTAAAACAGCGGCTTGGCTCATGGAAAACTGGCAACCTGTATTCTTTTAAACGACTTTCAAAAGCTTGTGGAAATGAACAGGGCTGACAGCAGGCATGTTAGTTTCCAAAACTTCTCTCAAACTCTCACAATCAACTATGACAAACATTCAGGTAGCTGCGATATTTCAGTGCTCAGCGTATTCCATCCATACGGTTATACTATCTCACTTCCCATTGGGTTAGCTGCGCATGATCCTACAGTTTGACTTATATCCGGACTGTGGGGCACCTATCCAACCAAACAATCAACATCACGCTGATCGCATCTAGTGCTTTCAATTGTAGAGACTGGCCCTGACCACAACGTCGAGTGCCAAAACGTGTAAAACCTAACCTCCGATGACGCAATCACCAAGAGCCCCATGGTTGGACAAAAGCCATCAAACAAATTGCGTCCAGAAGTTAGTTCACAAAGTTTGCATCGGACAGATTCATGAAATACTGATTCGAAACGCTCAATGGAGAGGTTTGGAGGTTGGATTAACAAGCTAATCCCGTCCTAGTAACCAACTGGGTAAAAAGATATGGTGCTCGAGGCGTGCTGTTACGATGGAGGTTGTGGAGTCCGTGGTTCATTAAAGGAGGAAAAACTGCACAGATAACTCTGTAAATCATTGCTTGTGGAGGCCACATTCAGGGGAAAATTCGTCTTGTCCTTTGTCGCTAGCAGTTGGAGTTGGAGTGCTCAGATATTTTCTCGTTGAAGCACAAGCTGACCAGGACTGTACTTCGTTCGCTTTGTTCAGTTTCTTTGATTGAATGAAGGAGTCCATGAATCCGTACACTTTTGACGTTCGGTCAGATGAAGTGAATAGCGATGATGGATAGCACAAGGCTGATCGACTAGCGGTAATAGAATCGACCCACGTGTTTGCCTTTCTAGTGTTCACGGACTCGTGTGGTTGCCCGTAAACTGATGCCACGATTGACACCTTGCTTTGCCGATCATTCGAAGCAGCTGGCTGCTGCTTATGCAAGCAGTGGGACTGTGTTTCAACCGGTGAGTGGACTAATGGTTCAGCCCAAACACAAGGTGTTTCGCGGCGGAGGCACGGATAGGATGTCCAGCAGTCGGTTGGGCAAATCGCGAAAGTCGGTAGGATGTTCGTTTGGGGTAACAGGGAGGAGTTATCAGCTTGCTTGATTTTAGGTTCTGCACTAAGATATTGCTTCGTAGGGTCAGAGGTAGCTCGGTGATCTAATGTGTCTTCTGCAAAAAGATACATCGTTGTTGTCTCTGAAATAGCCGTCTTAGACAGGTCAGCAGATATGCAGGAGGATATTTCCGTGTCATCGGCGTTGTTGACCTCCGCTCGCTTATTATTTTGGGCGCCTTGAATAAGCCAACTATGTGGCTTTAAGGGACCGTTGCATATTGAAAACGATGAACAATGTTTAATTCCATCAACAGCCATATTGCTACTGCTCTGCTGGGGATCTTCTCCGGAGAAAGCCAATGCGAACAATAATTCCGGTTCGTAAACAAATCGGTAGACATACCGTTCACCGGAAACCTTCTGCATAATTCCCTTTTCGTAGTAGTAGCGAAGCGATCGACTAAGTTTGTCGTAGTTCATCGCGGGTCTGTTTTTCTGAATTCCCCAAAGGCGAGCGACCTGTAAACGTGGTAAAAAATGCCCATCCTTTTAGGCCTGGTATAGTTAATAGAAATAATGTATGAAGCTCAATTCTTAATATACTAACTACAGGGAAACCTCTGTAAGTTGACCAAAATGGTCAAAATACAGCAAGGCTGTCCAAATCGTTCGCAAGTGAGGCAAAAATATTTCGGGTCATAATCAGTTTGACATTAAGCTAAGAATTAAAAATGACAGATCTTATACATTTTTTACTAAAGTTTAGTGTAAATGTTGATAGTGAGATCTGGCGATCTTTTTGTTCGTTTGATTTAATTAAATACTATATAAACGTTTCCTAGTTGGTTGGAATTAAACAATACTACATTATTGATTTTTGCCGGTACATGATGTCATCCAATTTTGTACTCCTAATCCCTATTTTTGTAATCTATATAATGTCGTATGTGCGGAAAAAGTGCAACCTTGTATTTCTTTTTTTATGATGAGGCCGCGGGCCAGTTGAAATTTTAACCCAGGCCCCATTTGGCCCGCGGACCGGACTTTGGACATCCCTGACGTACGGAGATGGTTAACATACGGAGATCTGGATCCATATGGTTTACATGACGAACGTTCAAGCAAATGAAAAACATAACGGTCAACTTAGCGATGTGGTTAACTTCAGAGGTTTTACTTTATTAAACTTTTAGCTCTTTCAAAGTGTCCATGCTGAATGGACCGACAGTTTGGGATTAAGGTTGTTCCTTGTGATATTGTCACGGGAGAATAAAGCCGACAAAGGTTGCCTGACCTTATTGGTGTGAAAACTAACACAGAACCGTGAGGCCCAAGGGGCTTTTATTCTATGAGGCTGAAAACGTTTTTATTCCAGTTCAATAACTTAAGCAAACATGTACACCCACCTCCTCTGGTTCATTTAGCTTGAATTCCAGCGTTCTCCCCGTCCAACTTATTAGGTGACTGCTCTTTGAGTCATCCAACAGGGCGACCAAAAATTGCCACAGTTGCAAGGAACCTCGGTGGTGGAAGTTGGCCAGAGCCGCGGAGGCTGCTGCTAACACGCTATCAGCAGCTGATACGCTGTTAGAACAGCGAACGCGATTTCCTTTCAAGCTTGACGAAAAAGTGGGGTTGGTTCCAGATGAGACAGACTGATCCAAACCCATCCCAACTATAATTGTGCCACCCTGTGTTTGGTCCACGTCAGTCACTGGCGAAGGGACTATCTCCACATGGACTCCAGAATGATCACTCTCGAGTAGATGTCGCATGCGTTCTGTCCCAATCATATCCTGGACCGACCAGCAGCCAGTACCTGTGTCCGAATCATTCCGATCTGGTAAACTACACAAAACTGAAGTACACGGGTTTCCTTGACAGACTGAATCCTCATCCATACTCAACTGGTCGCAGTCCATGCTGATCGAACGGTACCATTCACCTGTTAAGCAAATGGCGGGTACGAAGATAGGAAATTACATGTACGAACTGGGACAGTAGAAACACATATTTATGTATATTACACATCCTTAATGTTGAGCAGTTTATCATTTGGGAAAAATGCAATGTATGACCAGAAAACCCTGGAGCGTAATGCAGCTTGCAACACCGATCAGCTAATTTGAAAGGTACCACGAACCCCATCGTACACCAATTATCTATGGCTGTAAAATGAGCTGGTTCGGACATAACAAGGAAGGCTGGCATACAGTCCGGTGTTTTGGATCCAGTGGCCTTCCTTGCTTGGACGGAGAAACAAGTCTCAATGAAAGGTTTATTCCACCTAGAAGCGTCTGACGTTAAAACCTGAGGTTGGTAGCATGCTTCCATAGCACCTACAATGTAGCTATATTACAAAGAAAACCATTTTGCAACGGTTCAACAGACCGACGATCACTAGCACATGAGTGTAACAAACCAAACCTTTGATAACTTAGACACGTACCTGAGCCTGTCAACTCCAAGAACGATCTTTCAGATGATGTGCAGCATGTTGTGAGGTCCGAAACGATGGGCGGTTCACTGCCAAAGTATGGGAGCAAATCACTTAAGCCGTCGTTTGATTGTGCATTAGCGACCAACTTTTGGCTGTTATAAGACTGTTGGTACTCCGTTGCATTTGGACCAGGCTCGAAATCAGAGGTGTTACTAGGAGGTGAAACATCGTATGTCTCCGTAAATGATGACAATATACTTAACGCTGCTCTCGTGGCTTCCGGGGTTCGGGAGTAGGTTAATCTGATTGAATAAAAGAAAAAGTTTCCAACGCAGCGCACTGAGGTGAGGTAGAGGTGAATCGACATACTCAAATACTTTAGCGCAAAGGCCAATGGTTCACTTAGCTACAAAAAGTTGCAGACGGCATTCGGACAGTCATAGATGAAAGTGCTTTTAAACCAAAGACTGAACCGGCAATCCCTCGACGAGGTTTAGGAGATATTCGAGCTGATACACCCACACTCTATCGCTCCAGCGCGCCAACCGGGCACTGCCTTGAGCAGATCGTTAATTCCCGCGCTACGTGTGTGCACACAACACACACTACGGTTCCTGTGCCCAAACTAGATTGTGACTCAAGACAGAGTAATTAGTGAGTGTATCTTGACAAATTCCATCATCTTATAACACGGGACACGTTCATACTTCCGGGAGTGTGAAGGTAACAACCTACTGCACACTTTCCCTTTATACTCTACAAGATCTCCGCATAATAAGTATTCTTGATGCGTGATCCTGCGAGCTATAAATAAATAAATAAATAAATAAATGAATAAATGGTATATTCCTCGGTGATGCGAGGTGCAGTCCAACTATGTGGTCTGATCAATGTGTACAACAGGATCGCAAAAAAATAATTAATTTGTTCGCGCTTTTTACAATCGATCCAAAACTGGTACTAAACTAATTAGCAGGATTAAGGCATTAAAGAAATTAAAAAGCAGGAACAATAACATAAGCAGATTTAAACAGATGTCCAGTTAAAGTAATACGGCCACTCGTGGAACCATCCCCAGGGGACCTGCTTCCATGCAAGGTATTCCCTCGAAAGGTTTCGCTCGCACTTCCATGCAATAACTGGCTGTGTGCCGGTGTGGCATAGTAGCATATGAGCCATCACCTGTATATCATACGTTCTGTTCATTTTAGAGCTGCTTTTGTACATGTATTATGGGCCATGAAGGCTCAGCCCAGTCCGTCATGCGGATCATTCTATTATGGCACCTTTTTATACGCCAGTCAGTTGGTGGCAATTTGCCTTGCATAGGTAACGTCTTTTATAATCTGGAAGCTGTAGTCCGTCACCACAGGAGATCAGTCTAGTCGTGGCCAACTATGAAGTAAGGAAGAATATAGAAAAGAGGAATTATGTGAAAACTATATCGTTAGTGTAAAAAATAGGCAGGTATGTTTTGTACATCGGCGTAGAAATCGATCGAGCCGATCATACGATAAATTGTGTAGCGTGACAGCCGGAGACAGATGACTGTACTAGTTGTCCATAGGCAAAAGTCGCATAGGGAATCAGTTATTGCCATCACTGAATTCAAGTATATGTTTCTGGACTGTTAACTTCAGAAAAGAAGGGGAAATGATTAGCACTGGAGAACAAATGTAGCGAAAGGGATCGCAGAACAATATTACGAATGAATCAATTTGTGGGGAAAATTACGAAAATAGTTCCTGACGTCACACCAGTAAATAATTTTGCTCTCGGTTTTAAACAGAAGACAGTTGATATGAATTAAGTTTAAAGCGAGTAAAACCGCATGGGAGGTAGCGTTAAGGAATAGCATAAGAAGCGGTTTGTAGCAGCTCATCCTAGCTGATCAAGTTTTCTCTGGTGCAGTAGAGTTGATGTTCTCCGGTATCATACATGATCCGGCCCTTCTTCATACAGCTTTTCATCATCAAGTTGAATGTTTAAGATCCATTTCGCTCTGTCCGTTGACAGATAAGCCTTTATCATTTTCCTGAACATGCAGAAATGTTCAATACATCTAATCTCTTTTGGCAGCTTATTCCAAATGGAGCCATACCTAAGAAGATAGAAATTTCTCCTTAGACTGCTCTTGAATTTAGGTAAATAGAATATGCATTCATTATCTCACAGTTCATAAATGGTGTTTTCCCGAAAGTGCAATTGATAGGTTCCAATATATGCTTTCCGCCACGCGAGTTTGTGGAGGAAGCACAGATTTAGTTGCATTCTTCGTAACCACAGAGGTTCAAGATTCAATTGCTTGCACCTATCTCGGTATGAAAGAGCGGTTGAACAGCCAAATATGCGCTTCGTAAAGGCGCGTTGGACGTTTTCAATGGCTCTCAAGTCAGCCTTTCGCAAGTTACTGAACACAGCACAACAATATTCAAGCAAAGGCCAGATACTGATTTTGAAAGCAATTAGTCTGGTTTCTTTCAAGGTTAGCAGGTGGCATATGAGCGCGACCGACTGCTTAGCCTTTTTCACTATATGATTTGTATGTTCGCTAAAGTTTAACGAACTAGAATATCTTAAACCTAAGTCACGAACAGACTGGCTGATGGGAATGACTTCATCATGAAGCCTGAACACTTCTGCTGCTATCTGACATCCATACGATAGAATACTACACTTCGATGTTGCAAATGTCATCTGCCACATACCAGCCCATCTCTCAATGGCTTTCAAGTCGCTTTGGATATTGTTAACTTCAGCGCTACGCTGAGAGCCTGGGAACGTGTAAACCACCTTTAAATCATCAGCAAACAAATAAGGCTTCCCAAATTGTATAACAGAAACCAGGTCATTTATATACAGTAGGAAGAGTAACGGGCCTAAGACACTGCCCTGTACCACTTCACTGGTAACCGGACGAGGTGAAGAGATGTAACCATTGATGTCCACAACTTGCGACCGTCCTACTAGGTAAGATTGGATCCAAGAGTAAAGCGGATTTTTAACACCGTACTTACTTAATTTATATAACAGCTTTTTGTGTGGGACTCTGTCAAAAGCCTTTTGCATGTCGAGGAAGATAACAATGCACTGAAGACCTGAGTCAATCGCTTCAGTTAGATGGTTAAGGAAGTCAACTTGACGGGCAACACATGAGCGAGACTTCAGAAAGCCATGCTGTGAAGGTGAGAGAAGTTTGTGCGATAATAGGAACGAAACCAAATGTTCCTTAACAATTCTCTCTAGCATGCGTGAGAGAATGGCTGTGTGACTAATGGGGCGGTAGTTCCGGATGTCAGTTTTCGACCCGGACTTATGTCGCGGTATAACCGTAGCCGTTTTCCAACGTTCGGGGTATTGACCAGACTGGAGAGACAAAGAAGATATTTAATACTATAAGAAGGATATCATCTCCACCGTGTTTGATTAAAGCAGAAGTGATCCCATCGGGGCCAGGTCTGTAGGATGGTCGTAGACAAGTAATCATACGTTTTATCGTAGCAACACTAAGCTCGATCGCTGGGACTTGTTCAGAGAAATGAAATGAGGTTGACAAATCCAGGGTTTCTTTTTCAACATTAAAGGATCTAGCAAAGTATGAGTTAAAGGCTTCCGCCATGGCAATTGGGGAATCAATGCAATCACCTTCAGGCATGACGATGTGGGAGGGTAGGTCAGTTTTGCCACCTCTCCTTTTCCTCAGTAATGCAGTCACCAGTTGACTTGTATTACTACTATTTACAGCCCGTCGTTCTTCCTGCATGAGACGAGTTCGACGTTTCCTGTCCATCTCAATTATAAGGCGTTGGAGTCTCAATAATACACTAAAGTCGTGAGTACGTTCAAATGTTCGAGTTAGCACTCGAATTTTCCGCTTGTCTTTTGCGTTGTTAGCGTATTTAGAAGAGACTCTCGTATTATCACAGAAGGCAAGTATGCTTAAGCACATAGCCACATTGTCATAGAATATATCGGAGGCTCCCTTAATATCAGACGAAAGAAAGAAATGGTCCCAATTTTGGACTCTAAGCAAAGCTGAGAAATCTACCCAATTAATATTTCGCAGGAAGTGTGGAACCATCGCAAATCTCACATGCGACGACTCAGCTATAAGTTTACATCTGACTATTTTGTGATCACATCCAGGGAGACCGTCAATTACATCAGTAGCTATCTGGGAGGTGCCTGGGGTAAAAAGTAGGTCTAATATATTTTTTCCCCTGTAGCCACGAGAACATGTTGCTCCCAACCACCAGTGATGACGGAGGTTATGAACTCTGCATGTTTCGCGTTCGTTACTAAGTTTGACCAACAGATATCTGGTAGATTGAAATCTCCACCTACAACTTTATCGAAGGAACCAAGGTCCGATATGTAATTGAAGATGTCAACCAACTGGTTCTCATCACTGAAGCTGGTCCCGGGTGAGCGGTATATACAGCCTACAAGAGTTCGCTTAGTACCAAAGGACAAGAGTAACCAAGCGGAATCAATAGTGGGGCATATAAGTGGAAGTGTGAATTCAGACACAGTGAGGTTCTGTGAGTAGTAAATTATGCAACCACCTCCTCTGCCTTGTTTTCGATCACTTCTAATAAGCTTATAACCTTCGATAGAAAGCAGCTGGCTGAGCATAGAATCATGACACCAGGTTTCAGTGAGTAAAATCATATCAGGTTTATTCAGACTTATGAAAGTATGGAGTAAATGAAGTTTATTCAACAGTGAAGGGGATATTAATTATCATCAGTTTTAAAAACTCCAGGCGTTGTTCATCACTCTGTCCAGTATTTATTCTTGCAATCACATCAGTTCTAGAGCCTTCCGCAGCAAATCCCTTACCGTGAGATTCGCCAGTCCTATCGGGATTAGGGGGGGGGGGGGAATGGGTGGGGGAATGGTGATAATTGGAGATATCAGTTTCCAGATAATCTGTCGATGCCTTCGGGGGGACAAATTTCTCCAGTATAACGTGTAGAAAGGGTGGTTTCCAATGCACCACCGACAACTCCACTCCCACCTAGCATATTCACTGCGGACCCGAAAGAATCAAATCGATGGGTATGTGGGTAGGACTAACACAGTCACCAATGGACGATAAATGCGATGAGAGTACGGTTTGTGTAAGTCTCTGCAGCCGGCCTCATTCGTCAAAGTTGGACCAATTATGAGAAGACAACCCAGGTAGTTAGCGTGTCATTATATTCTTTGCTTTATGACACCTAACGGACTATCGATACAGCGTCTTTGGAAGGCACGGTGTTGCTCGGTGTATCTCATGATAGAAGGTGAGTCCATGACAGCAAGAGGAGGTATCGCACTCCAGTGAAAGCTGAAGGATTTTGTCATCTCGTGGTCACGCTGTTGTGGTGCTATAGTGGGGCAGTAGCAGCTACACTGTCCACATGGAGCGACAAACGCACCCTTATTGCCTGTTGGATGATGTGTATTTCAGCACCGGTTGGGCCGTCGATACGCCGAGCCAGGTTCAACGGAACAGATTGTAGGCTGCAACCAGTAAAACATGGTTGTTTGGTGTATTGGTTTCCGTACCTGTCCTGATCCCATACAACGTAGACTAACCACATACCGTTAATTCCTTCTACTCGTCTTAAATG